TCAGGTTTTATGTAACAAAACCTGTTTTAAAACGCTGGGTTTGGGTATTTTAGCCAAAATCCACTCTCCAGCTAAATGGACTTTTCACCCCATTGCAGGAAAATCCCATTACTTAGAGCAGAAGAACTGCACCCTTCACAATTCTCTGCAAAAAGGAAGAAATGTGAAAGTAGTGCTTCCTAAAAAAAGGTAACCTATATTGTTGTTTAAATAGCTGTGTAAGAAATAACATCATCTGGTTAGTTTGTAAACGAAATCACATTTAATGTAAAGATTTTATCTCATTGCAAATGAAAGCATTTCATTATTTTAATACCGCCCAGCAGGACCTAACAAGAACCGTCTGACTGGAAATAAAATAAGTAAAATAATATTAAAGCCAATTATTTAAATCAGTCTGTTCTCTTGGAGTGTGCCGTCGTTCTGAGCTACTCATGTTGAAACCCAGTGTCTGTACGACAGGCAATATCAGGGCTTTGCTGCCCGTAACGTGCGGGTCCATCATCAGGGTCCAGCTCCCATCCATCATCTGTCCATCCCAAGCACAGACCAGCATTCAGATGCTTTTCCTGAGTTTACTCAATTTCTTACATGCATTTGTGAAAACAACCCTTCGATTTTCATTTTTATCCATAAGCAGGCAGATGAAAAACTCCATCATTTATGCCGGGTCGGCGTCTTAAAACTCAACCACTGAATTCCTGGCTGCTGTAGATCTGGCCCTTTGAAGCAGAGACCTCCAGCAGCCAAAGATCTGGCCCTCAGCAGCCTGTGCATTTCTAAGGCACTTTTGGTGCCCCAGGGCAGGAAAGAAAAACGCAATATTTCTTTGTGCCATCATTGTCTACCAGCCAACTCCATATGGAACTTTTCAGCGGATACACTTGTTTTCTGCTGGGCTCAGTGTTGACACAACAGAAAAGCTTTTTATCCCCCTGAGCACCAGTTAGAGTATTTAAACACTCTTTTCTTTGCTGCTAATATAAAAAAGCTGAGGGGAATGAAAATATTCAAAATTCCATGGCAAAGGAGGGACAGGGGACTTGTGGAATATAAAGCCGAGTCGTCCCCGCCGAGGAGAGATCTAGAAACATCTGGGAGAAAAGCAACGGTCCGGGCCACGGGGTGAGCAGGAGAACCAGGTAATTCATGGAGATGCTGCTGCAAAGCAACCCCTTCCATAATTCAGAGGGGCAGCAAGCAACAGACTCCCAGATAAAGAGCCAGATTCCCCAAAAAGGAACCTGAATGAGGCTATAAGAAACCAAGATTATGCATTATTCCAGTTTTTTCAGCTGTCCTAAAGCCAGGCCACCCTTTGGTGCTCTGGCACAACCAGGCAGTCATGTCCTCAACAGCTTCCCCTGTCCCAGTGCTCCCTCCCAATAACAAATTTACCATTCCTTCTCCAAAAGAATAAATGTTTATTAATGTGCAGCTCTCTAATCATAACGAAGGAGCAGAGAGTCTTAATTAAGTCATTAGCAGCTGTTGCAAGTTCTGTAAACCTGAAAGAATAAACAGTGTTAATACCATTAAAATGTATAACTTTTTCCTAGTATCTTCTTTATGCTATAAAGTGTTTCAAGAGATTACACGAAAGATGTTATGCAAAAACAAATAAATAAATAAATTAGGGTCTGGGGCCTATTTTAGCTGTAAATAGAAATAGGTTGGAAATAGCAACCCGGAGCCCTGGGAGCAGAAAACATGAAGCAGCAGCTCCCAGAAAAAAACCCAAAGCCCCCCCGTGGGGTCGGCAGGAGCAGGGATTCGACACAGCGGGGTTCAACCCTGCTTGGTCTGCAGATCCTCAAACATTTCCCTCTGGCAGTGTGGGGGCATCCCACAAGGAATTTGGCTGTCAGGCAGCAGGATGGCTTTTCCTAGCCACTGGAGATTGGTGGTGAGCCCTCAGAAATACCTTATCGTGGTCCCTGGACAGCCAGGACCCTGTGAATGGAAATGGCTGGCCAGCAACCCAAAAGAAACCTCATAAAAAGAGGGCAGGAGGAACAGGCTTCCAAAGATTTCAATTTTTAAGATTTCTCTCTGCTCACCACACCGCTGCCTGCAAAAGCTGGACACCACGCAGCCCCACCAAGAGTTTATCCCAAGAAGATCTTTCCGTAGCTGCTCACTCAATCACACGGCAACAGAGCAACAGGTACATCCAACTTTAATGAAATAATTGCCATTTCTATATATACAGCTATAACCCAGGGCAAAAACCAGCAACAGAAAGGATGCAAACACAACCCTGGACGCAGAGCAACTCTCGCGGGGGCCGGGCTGGACCAAAGCATTTCTGCCATTCTCCTCCTCTTTCGAAGACCTGTTTTGCCTAAAAAACTGAAATATATGAAATCCTCCCAAAACTGCTCGGCGGGCTGACAGGAGATGACAGCCTGCCCCCCTGGGGTTGTTTTGTCTCTCTTCTCTTTCTTTTCTTTCTTTCTCTCTCTTTCTTTCTCTCTTTCTTCCTTTCCCTTCCTTCCCTCCCTTCCTTCCTTCCTTCCTCCCTTCCTCCCTTCCTTTCCCTTCCTTTCCCTTCCTTCCTTCTTTCTTTCTTTCCTTCTTTCTTGACCCTGGCCATCCTCCTCTGCAGCTGACACCAGCCAGGACGCACAGGGATGCTTTGCCCAGCACCGACCGGCCGCGGTGTCCGGCGTAATCTCATGGGCAATGTCCAGCATCTTCTCAGGGCACTGCAGCAGCTCCAAATGTACATATTAAAGTCTTTAGAAAGTCCCTTTTGAAACTATAGCAAAATACCTGGAAGGACCAGTATGAAGTACAAAGCCATTAAAATTGTACACACCGAATTATCGATATCTGGTAACTTATTAAATAAATTCACAGAAAAAAAATGACACTTTTTTTTTTTTTTCTCTTTCTTTTCCCTTTAACATCCTCTGATTTTTCCTAAGTTTTACTCACACAGAAATAAGCTGTTTCACCCGCTGCTCGCAGTCCCATCGCAACGACACAGACCCTTTATCAAAGTTTAAAACACAGGAAAATTTACAGCCCTTGTATTTTAACGGGAATCCAACCCCCGTGCTGGGAAGGGACATCTCCGTGGTCAGCGAGCAATCGCCGAGCGAGGCTGCTATTTCTGGATGGGCTGAGAAAGAGGCAGGAGAATTTTCTCAGCAGAAGAGGCTGACTCGCCTGCAGCTGTATGCAACCCCCCCTCATCCCCCCACCCCAGCCATCCGGATGCAATCCCAAATTATTAAAAAGGCCCCTTTTCCCTCGGAGAGCTGGCAGTTGAGAGGGGCCGCTGGCATGCACACGCTGACGCCGGCGCAAACCCCTCTGGGAGCAGGGCAGTTTGTAGGTTTTGACGGCGATTGGCCTGTCTGGGCATTTTATGGCAGCATCCCCAGGCCCTCATGGCTAGATTTTTTAAAATTTTTATTTATTTTCTTTTTTTTTTTCCCTGAGGACTTTGGTAAGATGACTCTGGCGTTTCCCTGCCTGTTTCAGAGCAAGCTGCGTGGCCACCGGTGCCAGCCAGAGCCCGGGTGTAATGTGCATTTCCCAGGGGATGCCCGGGCTCGCTGGAGATTGCAGCGGTGGGGGACAGGCTGCCACCAGCACCCGAGGACACTGGCACCACCCAGACCAAATCTCCTCCCCGCTTCAAGCCATTCCAGCACCGGCATCACAGAATCACATCCCGGCTCCCCAAACCGTGCTGACACCTAGGCAATAGAACCACAGAATCCCATGGGGTTGGAAGGGACCTCTGGAGATCATCTAGTCCAACCCCCCTGCCAAAGCAGGTCCACCCACAGCAGGTTGCACAGGAACCTCTCCAGGAGGGTTTGGAATGTCTCCAGAGAAGGAGACTCCACCACCTCCCTGGGCAGCCTCTTCCAGGGCTCTGCCACCCTCAAAGTGAAGAAGTTCCTCCTCATGTTTAGGTGGAACTTCTTACAGTCAGGTTTGTGCCCATTTCCTCTTGTCCTGTCCCTGGGCACTGCAGCAGTTGACTGTCAGCACGCACGCAGCTGGCTGCTATTTATATCCCATACCATATATCAGAAAATACACAACATCCCAGGGAGGCTTTGCCATGACACCGCGACTGGGGTGACGCCGGGTGAAGGCAGGAGAGGGTCTCCCCGCGGCAGGCACACTCCGCTGGGAATGCTGCCCGTTGAGCTTAATGGGGCGAGAATGGCCAAACCCCCCCCCTCCCCCCCACAGCCCCAGCAAATGAAGCGATGTGGTTTCCTTGGCGCTCACACAGCCCGGGGTCAGCCAGGCGAGCGGAGGACGCCGTGTTTTAACGTGTCTGGAAACACAACGGGCTGCTCGTGACGGGGGATGAGGCCGGATGAAAAAAAAACCCACGCTGCTTGCTGCCACCATCCCGGCTTCACGCAATGTGACCACAGGGGTGACCATGGATTCCGGCACCTGTAGGCAGCAAGTACCTGTTTGCAATTCTAAACACCAGCCTGAACCCCCTCTGGGTAACATCTTCACGTCAACATTGCAGTCACTTCACCCTCTCTCAGCCCTGAGGAACCCCAAGACAAAGCTCCATCAGCGTCCAACGTGTCCCCAATCCAGCCAGCAGAGGGTCAGGCACCCACTGCCCCTCCAGACCCCTCACGAAACACAGCACAGATCTACAGCATGAACGGGGTGGGGGAAAAATGGCATGGACAATGGCAGAAACATGGCCTGGACATAAAGATGCCTATAAATGAAAATAGAGTCACTGAAAATAGAAGTCGCTGCCTTCATTCTCCTGCAGCCACGGGTCGATTGCGCTGCCTGAGGCCCCAGCCCCGGGGGACACGCCGTAGGCGGCGGGGTCTGCCCCCCATCCCGGGATCCGTCTCACATAGACACACAACTGAACGGGCATGCAGAATGAACTCCACCTCGGCCCCGGGAAGCCCTTGGAGCTTCCCTCCTCCAGGCCAAGGGAGCTTCCAATCACTCCCCGCGCTCTTCCGTCTAGTGGGCACCGCCGCCCGTCACAGAAAATTGTTGTGTTTGTTCTGTTCCAGTGCCATCTCGTTGACCAGCTGCTCTATGGAGGACTGGATGGCTGCCTTCACCAGGGAAGATGCGGTTTCTATGAGGAGCAATTCGTACTGCTCCCCAGTCCTGTGCCCCTGGTTGCCTGGACCTTTCTCCTCCGCCTGGGGACCGCCACCGGCCTCGGGGCCCTCTTTGTTACCCAAATCAAAGCTCCCGCTTGATTTTTTGTTCCCTTTTTGCTTCTTACGGTGCAAAACGGGGGACGGCTCGTAGGCCTGGTCGGAGTCGGTGTGGTCAGAGTCCTCAGCTTCGGTGATGGTGATGACGATGCTGACGCCGGCACTCACCGTTGCTTCTGATGTCACCTGGTGGCTGGGGCCGCCCTCCACACTCGCAGCGGTGTCCTTCAGCCCCACCGATGGACTGAGATCTGTGAGGGTCTCTCCGGCTTTGCTCTCCTCGGGGACATCTGTGCTCTTTCCTGAATCGTCCCCTTCGGGCAGCTCTTTGCAGGTGTCGGGGGGTTCCTGCACCTGGGGGGTTTTGGGGGTGCTGTCAGGTTGATCCGTGGAGAGGGGCGCTTCAGGAGCAACATCTCCATCTTCCATGGGGACTGTGGTTTGGGGTGGGCTCCCCTCCTGCACTTCTTCCTGGGCTGTTTCCATGGGGACTGTGGTTTGGGGTGGGCTCCCCTCCTGCACTTCTTCCTGGGCTGTTTCTGTGGGGACTGTGGTTTGGGGTGGGCTCCCCTCCTGCACTTCTTCCTGGGCTGTTTCCGTGGGGACTGTGGTTTGGGGTGGGCTCCCCTCCTGCACTTCTTCCTGGGCTGTTTCCTTGACTGTCTCCGATTGGGTTGTCTCCGACGGAGTGGTGGGCTCGGTGCGTTCTTCCACATCAGGTGTGGGCTCTGCCAAGGGCTCGCTCTTCTCGGCAGAGTCGGTGCTCTCCTTCCCTGCATCCTGCTCCTCCTCTGTGGAGACCGGGCTGAAGGACTCGGACTTGTCCCCCGTGGCCAAATCCTGTGGCTCCTCGCTAGCTTTGCTCAAACCAGCCCCCACTTCGTTTGCTTGAACACTCTCCTCCGACTCCTCCACTGCTTCGGAGGGGCTGAGCTTTTTCTTGCCCCTGGAGAACCGCACGCAGGGCATCTTCACCCCGGAGCTCGCCCGTTTCTTTGGCAAACTTTGGGTGCAGGTCTCCTCAGCCTCGGTCTCCAGCTGCACCTGGGAGTCAGAGGGCACCTTCTTCCGCGAGGAGGACTTTTGCCTTCTCCGAGGTCTTGCCAGGTTTTTGATGGCCGCCCAGGCTCCTTTGGAGGAGCGGGATTGATGAGAAACTTTGGCCTCCCCATGGTCGGCGCTGACACATTGGCTTTTCTCCTCCAAGGCTCCTTCACACGCGTCCTTCACGGTCGGTCCCGTCTTGCAGGACTTCTTCCGCTTCTTAAAGCAGAGCATGGAGGGTTTTTCTGCCTGTTCCTCCGACGTGGCCCCTGCGCTGGGCGTCTCTGCCTCTCCTGGATTCTCCATTTGAATCTCCTTAGCTGCCTTTGCCATATTCACTCCTCTCCTTCGTTGGTGGTATACTATTGATTTTCTTGATTTAACGCATCAGACAAAGGAACTGCAGAGATGCTCAAAGTGCATTTTTTTTCCCCTCAAATTGTTTTCAGAGTAACGTTACGTGCTTTTTTGTTTCACGAGCGGACGTGGCACTGAAGACAAGTCCTGCTGAAGCTGTCGCATCCGCTTTCCAACTCCCACTTTGTCTTGTTACTCCCTTTATCACCTCTCCAAGGAATCCCGGGCAGATGTGGAGTTGAACAGGCTTCTCCTTGGCTTTGCTGGCCCAAGTCACTCTCACCTCCGGGACAACCCACTTCCAGTTGCGCTCAGTCTAACAGCACGGCTATTTAATTGCCAGTCTGACATTGCTCTTTTTTTTTTTTTAATTATTATTATTAATTTTTTTTTTTCCCCAAAGGATGACAAATCAAGCCAAGAGTTAATAACTTTTATTCACCCCATGGACCGGGAAAGAACTTGTGCTTTCTGAGCGAGCTGCAGTTCCACATGGCTCGGGGGAGCTTTGATGGAAGCACCAGTGGAACCAGTGGCTGTTTTCTGCCCCCCAGTGACAAGGTCAGACGCTGCTTTGTCTCGGCTTTGCTTTCTGCTTCAGTTCCCCTCGGCAGGTTACGAGAAGGTTTGCAGTGACTGGCACTTCCATCTTTTATCTGTAACGCAACAAACGAACAATAAGATCTGCAGAACGTTCTTATTTATAGTATTAAAAAGTATATATTTTTTTTTCTTCTTTAAAAAAAAAAAGATTATTTCATTTTGGGAGGCAGGCCAGGACTGGAAAAGCAGTTCTGCCTCTGGATGCACCACGGTAGTTCTTTCCACTAATTAGCATCATATATCCAAAGGCAAAATAAGGCCACCAAGCTGTCAACCTAGTGATGTTCCACCACAGAAAATACTATTTTTGTGTGTTTTAGCAATTTTATTTTTTTTTAATTGCCCATATAAGGACAAATATGCATTCTGCATGCACACACACATATTTTCTTCTCCTACAGTTAGTGGCATCTTTTCCCTGCTGCTCCATCCACACTCATAGTTCCAGGGAGGGAAATTACACCCTGAGACAGCAGATATTTTTATCTTTAATGCACCATA